CCAGTTCCATCCACGTTGTTGCAAATGGCAAGATTTCATTCCTTTTGATGGCTGCATAATATTCCTGTGTGTGTGTGTGTGTGTGTGTGTATAAAATATATCACATCTTCTTTATCCATTCATCTGTTGATGGACATCTTGGCTCTTTCCATGGTTTGGCTATTGTGGACATCACTGCTGTAAACATCAGGGTGCTCATACCCCTTCGGGTCACTACATTTGTATCTTTGGGGTAAATACCCATTAGTGCAATTCCTGGGTCATATGGTAGCTCTATTTTCAATTTTTTGAGGAACCTCCATACTGTTTTCCAGAGTGGCTGCACCAGCTTGCATTCCCACCAACACTGTGGGAGGGTTCCCCTTTCTCTGCATCCCTGCCAACATCTGTCGTTTCCTGACTTGTTAATTTTAGCCATTCTGACTGGTGTGAGGGTGGTATCTCATTGAGGTTTTGACTTGGATTTCCCTGATGCCGAGTGATGTTGAGCACTTTTTCATGTGTCTGTTGGCCATTTGGATGTCTTCTTTGGAAAAATGTCTGTTCATGTCTTCTGCCCATTTCTTGATTAGATCATTTGTTCTTTGGGTGTTGAGTTTAAGAAGTTCTTTATAGATTTTGGATACCAGCCCTTTATCTGATATGTCATTTGCAAATATCTTCTCCCATTCTGTCAGTTGTCTTTTGGTTTTGTTGACTGTTTCCTTGGCTGTGCAAAAGCTTGTTATCTTGATGAAGTCCCAATAGTTCATTTTTTGCCCTTGCTTCCCTTGCCTTTGGTGATGTTTCTAGGAAGAAGTTGCTGCGGCTGAGGTCAAAGAGGTTGCTGCCTGTGTTCTCCTTTAGGATTTTGATGGACTCCTGTCTCACATTTAGGTCTTTCAACCATTTGGAGTCTATTTTTGTGTGTGGTGTAAGGAAATGGTCCAGTTTCATTCTTCTGCATGTGGCTGTCCAATTTTCCCAATACCATTTGTTGAAGAGACTGTCTTTTTTCCATTGGACATTCTTTCCTGCTTTGTCGAAGATTAGTTAACCATAGAGTTGAGGGTCCATTTCTGGGTTCTCTATTCTGTTCCATTGATCTATGTGTCTGTTTTTGTGCCAGTACCATACTGTCTTGATTACAGCTTTGTAATAGAGCTTGAAGTCCGGAATTGTGATGCCACCAGCTTTGCTTTTCTTTTTCAACATTCCTCTGGCTATTCGGGGTCTTTTCTGGTTCCATACAAATTTTAGGATTATTTATTCCATTTGAAAAAAGTGGATGGTATTTTGATAGGGATTGCATTGAATGTGTAGATTGCTCTAGGTAGCACTGACATCTTCACAATATTTGTTTTTCCAATCCATGAGCATGGAACGTTTTTCCATTTCTTTGTGTCTTCCTCAATTTCTTTCATGAGTATTTTATAGTGTCCTGAGTACAGATTCTTTGCCTCTTTGTCTAGATTTATTCCTAGGTATCTTATGGTTTTGGGTGCAATTGTAAATGGGATCAACTCCTTCATTTCTCTTTCTTCTGTCTTGTTGTTGGTTTATAGGAATGCCACTGATTTCTGTGCATTGATTTTATATCCTGCCACTTTACCGAATTCCTGTATGAGTTCTAGCAGTTTTGGGGTGGAGTCTTTTGGGTTTTCCACATAAAGTATCGTATCATCTGCAAAGAGTGAGAGTTTGACGACTTCTTTGCCGATTCGGATGCCTTTATTTCTTTTTGTTGTCTGAATGCTGTGGCCAGGACTTCTAATACTATGTTGAATAGCAGTGGTAATAGTGGACATCCCTGCCATGTTCCTGACCTTAGGGGGAAAGCTCTCAGTTTTTCCCCATTGAGAATGATATTCGCTGTGGGTTTTTCATAGATGGCTTTTATGATATTGAGGTATGTCCCCTCTATCCCTATACTCTGAAGAGTTTTGATCAAGAAAGGATGCTGTACTTTGTCAAATGCTTTTTCTGCATCTATTGAGAGGATCATATGGTTCTTGTTCTTTCTTTTATTAATGTATTATATCACATTGATTGATTTGTGGATGTTGAACCAACCTTGCAGCCCAGGGATAAATCCCACTTGGTCGTGGTGAATAATCCTTTTAATGTACTGTTGGATCCTACTGGCTGGTATTTTGGTGAGAATTTTTACATCCATGTTCATCAAGGATATTGGTCTGTAGTTCTCCTTTTTGATGGGGTCTTTGTCTGGTTTTGGGATCAAGGTAATGGTGGACTCATAAAATGAGTTTGGAAGTTTTCCTTCCATTTCTATTTTTTGGAACAGTTTCAGAAGAATAGGTATTAATTCTTTTTTAAATGTTTGGTAGCATTCCCCTGGGAAGCCATCTGGCCCTGGGCTTTTGTTTGTTGGGAGATTTTTTGATTACTGCTTCAATTTCCTTAGTGGTTACACTGTTGGTGGGAATGCAAGTTGGTACAGCCACTTTGGAAAACAGTGTGGAGGTTCCTCAAAAATTTAAAAATAGAGCTACCCTATGACCCAGCAATTGCACTACTGGGTATTTACCCCAAAGACACAGATGTAGTGAAAAGAAGGGCCATATGCACCCCAATGTTCATAGCAGCAATGTCCACAATAGCCAAACTGTGGAAAGAGCCGAGATGCCCTTTAACAGATGAATGGATAAAGAAGATGTGGTCCATATATACAATGGAATATTACTCAGCCATCAGAAAAGATGAATACCCAACTTTTACATCAACATGGATGGGACTGGAGATTATGCTAAGTGAAATAAGTCAAGCAGAGAAAGTCAATTATCATATGGTTTCACTTATTTGTGGAACATAAGGAATAACATGGAGGACATTAGGAGAAGGAAGGGAAAATTGGAGGGAGAGATGAACCATGAGAGACTATGGACTCTGAGAAACAAACTGGGTTTTAGAGGGGAGGGGGGTAGGAGGATGGGTTAGCCCGGTGATGGGTGTTAAGGAGGGCACGTACTGCATGGAGCACTGGGTGTTATACGAAAACAATGCATCGTGGATCACCACATCAAAAACCAATGATGTATTGTATGGTGACTAACATAACATAATAAAATTTAAAATAAATAAAATGTGTCTTTTATAAACAGCATACAGTTGGATCTTTTAAAAAATTCATTCTGCCTGTCTCTGCTTTTTTTTTGGTGGAGTGTTTAATCCATTTATATTTATCATAATTACTGATAAGGTAGGATTTATGTCTGCCACTTTACTCTTTATTTATTTTTTTTGTCTTACATGCTTTTTATTCCTCTCTCTCTCCATTACTGCTGCCTTCTGTGTTAAGATACTTCTAGTGTACTTTTTAAATTCCCTTATTCTTTCTTTTACTATATAATTTTGAGTTATGGGTAATAAAGAGAGTTACAGACATAAACACCTTTTATATGTACTCATGTTGCTACCTTTACTGTAGTAGCTGTATTCTTTCTTTATGTGAATTCCAGTTATTGTCTAATACCCTTTTATTTCAGCCTGAAGAACTCCCTTTAGTCTTTATTCTAGGGCGTATTTTTCTAGCCCTAAGTTCAGGCCCCACCAAAGAGTGGACCCTGGTCCAGGCCCACACAATTTTAATTGGGATTAGAAAGAATTTACATTTTAGCAATTGATCTTATTCACGAACATGATATATCTCTCCATTTTATTTAGGTTTTTAATTTCTCTTACCAGTATTTTATAATTTTGAGCATATTGAATATTGGACATATTTTTTTTTTTAGATTTGTACCAAAGAATTTCATGGGTTTTGATACTATTACAAAAGGCATACTTTTAAGAAATTTCCAATTGTTTATTGCTAGTATATAGAAATACAATTGAGTTGCATCCCTTGTGTCCTTCAACCTTACTAAAGTCACTTATTCTGGTATCTTTTTTGTACACTTTTGTGGGATTTCCTATGTAAATGATCATATCTGTTGTAAGTAGAGATATTTTTATTTCTCCATTTCCAATCTTTAGGTCTATTGTACTTTTTCTTGCCTTATTGCATCAGCTATAGCCTTCTGTATGATAATGAACAGGAATAGTGAGAGTAAATATCCTTGCTTTTTTCCCAGTGTTAGGGGGAAACATTCAAGTCTTTTACTATTAAGATTGATATTAGTTGTAGGTTTTTTATACATACACTTCATCAGGTAAAGATGGTTCCCTTTCATTTCCAGATTGCTGAGTTTTTATCATGAAGTAATGTTGAGTTTTGTGAAATGCTTTTTCTGCATCTATTGAGATGGTCATACATTTTTTCTTCTCTAATTTATTGATGGTAGTGAATTATACTAATTAATTTTGAATGTTCAACAAGCTTTGTGTTGCTGGGATAAACTTAGTCCTGGCTTGTTATCCTTTTTATATATTGCTGAAATCATTTTACTAGTATTTGGTGGAGCCTTTCTGCATCTATGTTCATAAGCTTAAATTAATATTTAAGTAAATACCAAGTACCAGAAGGTCTTCTACTTCTAGTAAATGTGAACAATGTAATTTGTCATAGCCCTCCTGTTGAAGACAACTAGAAAAGCTGAAAATTTTTATTTTTATTTTTTTTTTAAGATTTTATTTATTTGAGAGAGAATGAGAGAGAGCACATGAGAGGGGGGAGGGTCAGAGGGAGAAGCAGACTCCCTGCCGAGCAGGGAGCCCGATGCAGGACTTGATCCAGGGACTCCAGGATCATGACCTGAGCTGAAGGCAGTCGCTTAACCAACTGAGCCACCCAGGCGCCCTTTTTTTTTTTTTTTTTAAGATTTTATTTATTTATTTGAGAGAGAGAGAATGAGAGAGGAAAAGCTGAAAATTTTTAAAAGAAAAGAAAAAAGTTTACAAAATCATCAGAGCTATCAGACTACAAATCCCTGCATTTAGAGACAGGAGGACATGTTCATACAATAACTTCTAAATTACAGTTAAAAATGTCATTTTTAAAATAAGATAATATTTTTGGATCTAGCATAAATAGATTTCTTTTCTCCTTTTGTGTTTCAAAGGTAGATATAAATGCATTAACCCACAACCTGCAGACTCTAGAGGAAAAGAATAAGCACCTGGCGGAACAAATGGCTTCCCTAGAACTTCAGCAAGTCACTTCTGATTACAATGGGGTGGGTATAAAAAGGTCAGTCTAAATTAAGAATTAATGCCTGATGAGTTTTTTAAAAATCAGAAGTCAGAAGATGGGTTTTCTTCATTTGTTTGCATTTTAATAATTATTAAGTCCTGGATAACTCAGGCTAAATATAGCAGAGAGCCTTAGAGTACTCAAACAATAAAAGATTTAAGAAAACAAGAATTTAAGGCAGCTATTAAATATCTGCCTCCACAGATGATCTATAATACTGAAAAGCACAAATATATATAATGTTTTAAAATATTTGCTCTTCCATAAATTATGAGGAAGAAACATATATTTTTCTTTTCCTTGTCTGACAGTTCTATTAGGTAATCAGTAATAAGTACAATTTCTAAAAGCTGTTTGACAAGGTCAGTGCAAAACAAATAAATGGTAGAGTTTGTAAAACATCTCTCAGTGAAGGGTATTTAAAGAGATGATCATTCTGTTAAGCAGCTAATGAGTTTTCCTGTGTGCTTTTGAGTACTTGAAAAAAAAAAATTGTTTCTATAGAATGCAGATCACCTTTGAAAATTGCAGAGAAGGCTCCGATGTGAGTCTGTCTTAATCTGAGTTAAATTCTTTCAACCTCTGTCATAAGCTGCTCATTACTTAAACTATGAAAACCTAGAGAGTAAGTCTAAATCCATTACATTTTCATAGCTTTAGAGCCAGACTGCCTGTGTTTCAATTTTGGCTGTGATCTCTCTGAGCTTCAGTTTCTTAATCTGTCAAAGTGGGGAAAATAATACCATTATTAGGAAGTTGTCTGAGGATTAAGTATGTTAATACATGTAAAGCATGTAGCAGATAACTACCATTTATTGAAATTTTAGTATCTGAACCATCCCAGAAAAAAGGCCTTTAAGTTGCTATTACAGCAACAAGGTGCATTAGCTCTAATTCCTGGTACTATCTCAGACCAATACTCCCTCCCCCAAGATTAAAGATTTATCCATGTCCTCTACTTGCTTGTTGGCCATGCATCAGCTGGGCTTATCAATCCACCTGCTTCTGGTCCCTCTGGAAGACCACATCTCAGTCTTCCTGATTCTTTCATCCCCCTCTGCCAGTGAGTAGGCCTGTAGCCTCATCCTAATAGTGATTTTGACAGATCCTGCCAATGATTTGATCAGTCAGTGTTGATTCTTGCCTGCTCATAGCACCTCTTAAGGTCTCTCAGTGATAAAACAAACCTCAATTCCATCTTGCAGTTCTGTGTTTCCACATAGAATTTTCTCTGACCACGCCCCTGTTGGCTGTATGAATCTTGAGAAATGCGGTTGAGGTGTCAGGATTTGGGGCTTTTTTGTTTTTTTTTTTTAATCTCAGCAATATCATTAAACCTATCACCATTCAATGTTGGCAGTGTATTTTTGTTCTTTGGGAATTAACACTTGAAATTCTCAATAAGAACTACCTTCTAAAATAACCTCTTACTGGATTTTGGAGATAATGCTTATGAGTGTGTGTTGTATATGCCATACCACAGATTTGAATTCAGACAGACCTGGTTTCAACCCTTGGTTCCATTTACTGTGTGACTTGTGCAGGCCTTAACCTCTATGGACTTTGGGACTAAGGAGATCCCCCCCTAACCATGGGGTTCCCACAGCATGCTGTGCATATACATATCAAAATAATAATTTCATTGATTAGAAATTGATTAGAATTATGTATCTGCCTTCACTCTCTTCTAATGCAAGAACTGTAGTTACTTATCTTTATACTCCCTTACCTAACATAGCACTTAATACATAATAGGTATTTGAGAAAGATTGATTCAGTGGAACATAAGGAGGGTCATGTCTATCTTGCCAGGATATGAGGATTAAATGTCATACTGTGTGTAAAGTGCTTATCACGGGGCCTAGCTTACTTTATCCATGTTTAAACAGTATTCTTTTTTTCTTCTTCACACTGATTTTGGGTTTATTTTTTTTTCGGCCTTTAATGATGGTATAATTTAAGTCTCTCACCACAGGCAGTCATTCAGGGAACCATAGTGAGGAATGATGAAAATGGGGGAAGCTTACTATTCCTGAGTTCAAGTTAAATAACTATTCTCACTTCTTGATTTCAAATGATAGCACGAGACAGAAATACAGTTCCCTACACAACTAGGACTTTAATGATTTGAAATCATTAAAAAATGAATTAACTGTATTTCTTCTCTCTCTCAAATAAATAAAATCTTAAGAATAAATAAATGTATTTCTTAAAACTAGGATGACATTCAGTCAGTGTACAGTTGGGCAGGTGTCAAAGTTGGTTCTGTTTGGAGAGCGAGTGAGAACACTGAGCGGGGAAGGGAGGGAGAAGCAGGCTCCTCCCTGAGCAGGGAGCCCAATGTGGGGCTCGATCCCAGGACCCCGGGATCATGACCCTAAGACAAAGGCAGACACTTAACCGACTGAGCCACCCAGGCACCCCTAGTTGTTAAATATTTTGAATAAAGTCCCTGCTTACAGGAGTGCCTGACTGCTCAGTCAGTAGAACATGCAACTCTTGATCTCGGGGTTGTGAGTTCAAGCCCCATGTTGGGTATAGAGATTACTTAAAAATAAAATCTTAAAAAAAAAAAAAAATCCCTGCTTACAATCTGCCTATAAAATAGCTTTACCAAGGTGCTAGTATCTGTTGGCTTTATGTATTCTAACAGCTTCTGCTAACTTTCACAGCTTATCTAAATTTTTTTTAAAAGATTTTATTTATTTGAGAGAGAGAGAGAGCAAGCACGAGCAGGGGGAGAGGGAGAAGCAGAGTCCCCGCTGAGTAGGGTCAGCTCACCTAAAATTTAAAAATGATTTTAGAAATCATTCTGTAGCTTACAGTTGAATCCTTGTCAACCTTTCTTTCATATCTTAAGATAATTCTGTTTGCTTCCTGCTTTTTCCAAGTAGTGATATTTTTGAATCAGTTAAAATGCATATTCTAACCATTAGCATTTTTCTTTGTATGGTAATTCTCAAATGATTCTCCAGTTTCTATTTTGCTTTGCATATTAATAATCTTTGTAGTATATTGACAAGATTATTTAAGCAAAGGTTAATCTGTTTGGCCTTCCACAACTCAGAATCTGAGATATTCACTCATTCAAGTGCTCTCTAATTTCTGGTCTTCCATTGATTCTCTTTAATATAAGGCCTATTTAAATAATCTGGAAACGGCGCCTGGGTGGCTCAGTTGGTTAAACGACTGCCTTCGGCTCAGGTCATGATCCGAGGGTCCTGAGATCGAGTCCCACATCGGACTCCCGGCTCAGCGGGGAGCCTGCTTTTCCCTCTGACCCTCTCCCCTCTCTTGCTGTTTCTCGCTTGCTCGCTCTCTAATAAATAAATAAATAAAATCTTAAAAAATAATAATAATAATAATCTGGAAACAATAATTTAAATTACTGCCTTAATATCTGCTTTCCTTTAGCAACTAGAACAATTTCTTTGTTTGTTGTGAATGTAAATAAGTGACCTTGTGTCAAATATTAATCACATTTTGATTTTGCTTAGACACTTTACACTTACCACTGCATTAGCATTCTCTTAGGTGACCAAAAAAAGGGAAGATTATTTTTAAAGTATACTTAACAGATTAATAGAATTTCTGTATGCCTTTGCTTAAAAGAGGGAATTTTATTGAGGTAAAAGTGCCATTATTTAGGGGCACCTGGGTGGCTCAGTCGGTTAAGCGGCTGCCTTCAGCTCAGGTCATGATCCCGGCGTCCTGGGATCGAGCCCCGCGTCGGGCTCCCTGCTCAGTGGAGAGCCTGCTTCTCCCTCTCCCTCTGCCTGCCACTCTGCCTACTTGTGCTCTCTCTCTATCTCTGTCAAATAAATAAATAAAATCTTTAAAAAAAAAAAAAAAGTGCCATTATTTAAAAAAAATTCCTGGACACCTTTTGTAAGAGACCCAGATCATCTAAGTTACTGCAAAAAATACCCTTTTCATATTCCAAAAAGGCAAGCAGTTATCTCTGTTTGTTACAGCTAGCATATTTTAGGTTAAATCTAGCTCTTGGTGTTTTATACACTGAATCTGCACTTTACAGTACATTGGGCACCTCAGTTTATATACTTTAGAATTGAATTTTAAGTAACTAAGATTTTATGGTTATGGTATATAGCTTTGTTTTTGTAACATCATTGGCCACCCTTGTCATTTATTTTTGCTGAAGACTTAGTCAAAACATAATCCCAAATGTTGTGTTCATGGAATGTTTTTACCTCAGTTCCCAAAATAGAAAGTATTGTGGGAAAGGGGGATTTCCACTGACAGAAAATTGATGATTAACTTTATGATAATATATTGTTATTAGCCGCCCCTTTATTGATAACAGTCTATATTTCTCTTAGGTTATTTTGAAACCAATACTTTTTTGGTCTGAATGCTTTTTAAAAATATTTTCCTTTGCCTTAGTGGGAACCACACATAGTGATTAAAAGTGAAACTTTAATGGGGCACCTGGATGGCTCAGTCAGTTAAGCGTCCGACTTGATTTCAGCTCAAGTCATGATCTCAGGATCTTGAGATCAAGCCCCATGTTGGGCTCTGCACAGAGCCTACTTAAGATTCTCTCTCTCCCTCTCCCTCTGCCCACTCCCCCCTTGCACTCTGCCCTGCTGCTGTCTCTCTTAAAAAAAAGAAACTTTGAGAAACAATGTATGAATATGTATAATTAATGTATGAAATAAATACTGCTCTGATAGGACAAATACTCAGATGGCCATAATAGTTAACCTACTGATGCTTAATATTGGATATAAATTTTTATATTGAATGTGCATAATTTGGGGGTAGGTTGTATAGAAAGACTAGTCACTCTAGGGAAAAACTAAGAGGCAGCAGAGGCAAATAAATATGAATCCTGGTTTTGTCACTGTAGAAATGATAAGGGTATGAATACTTGTTCAGAAAATGGTTATTCCATTCTATGCCTAGGTACTGATAACCTGTGTTTGCTTTGTCAGCTTGCCCAACAGCAAGTGGAAAAGGCCTTGGGAAAAATTACTGAGAGTAAAAATAAACTGGCCTATGAAAAGGGAAAACTCCAGGTATGAGATTTTATTTTCTGATTTGTGTTGTGTAATTTTTTAATCACAGTTGTCAAGTTAAATATTGCCAGGTTTTGAGAAATTCTGTAACTTTGGACCAAAGTTTTTGAACCCCCCTAAGTTTGTTGCCTTATTAAATAAAATCCAGATGACTTCTATTCACATATCTGTAATATAATACTGAAAGTTAAAATTATGAAACCAAAGCCCATTCTGTGACTATTTGAAGTTGTATTATAATTGTTTTATGCATGGTCATTCGCTGAGAATGTAGACAGCCTATGCTCTCTTTTTTTGCTGAAATTTTATAATATTCTTAAAAAGAAATAACCCTGGAAATTGGGACTCAAAGGCAAGAGACTTGAGTGAATGGGATACTGTTTTGCTTCCTGTGGGGTTTATCCCTATAGTACCTACAGAGCAGGAAGCTTGACACTGATAACCAACTCCAGCGGAAATGCTGAAGTCTGAATAGATGGGTCACAGCCTTAGCTACACGTTACAATTTGAGGAATTTTTTAAACACCTCATTCTGGGAAGTGTATGATGTCTGCCATTTACTTTGAAATGAAACAGAAAAAAAAAAATAGTTTGGTGGATCAATAGAGGAAATTGATAGATGAATTGGTATGTGATAAGCAGGTATAAAAAAATTAATGGTAGAATTTGGATGGTGAGGGTATTCACATTCACAGTAAAATTCTTTCAATTTTTCTGTTCATCTATAAAATACAAGGGGAAAAATCCCCATGACAAGGCTTGCCCCCCAGACCAATTAGATCAGAATCTCAGGGAATAGGTCCTAGGCTTCAGTGCTTTTTAAGCTCCCCAGTGATTCTAATATGCAACCATACTTGAGGACCACTGGATTAAATGGTATGAAGTGAAGTCCAGTTAGAGCTGATTTGATTAAGTAATCTCACTACAGACATGTAAAGCATGTCAGTGTTAATTTCATCTCATTTGCTCCAGGAGCTTGTTATAGGGTTAGCACACCAGATCGGCCCAGATATGTAAAAGGCAGTTGGTAAAGTTGGTTGTGAAATAATAGGTTGTCTGCTGAAAAATAAGGCTATTTGGCCACTATCTGTGTGCTTTGAATATTTTCTGGAGTCAGTGTTACATTTAAATATAATCATTTATATTTGTTTAACCTTGGGCAAGTCTTAATTTTCTTGAATTTCATATTTTTTTAAAAAATTCAATTCCTGGGATATCTGGGTGGCCCAGTTGGCTAACTTTGGACTCTTGATTTCGGCTTAGGTCATGACCCTCAGGGTTGTGAAATCAAGCCTTATGTCGGGCTCCATGCTGGGCATGGAGCTTGCTTAAGATTCTCTCTTTCCAGGGGCGCCTGGGTGGCTCAGTTGGTTAAGCATCGGCTCAGGGTCCTGGGATCAAGCTGTAGGTCCGGCTCCCTGCTCAGTGGGGAGCCGGCTTCTCCCTTTCCCTCTGCCACTTCCCCTGTTTTTGCTCTTTCTCTCTCTCAAATAAATAAATAAAATCTTTAAAAAAAAAAAAAATTCTCTCTTCCCTCTCCCTCTGCCTCTCCACCCCGCACCCCACTGTGCATTCTCTAAAAAAAAAAAATTCAGTTCTTTTCAAATCTATTTATCAAAATATTCAAAAATAATTGATACTTTAATATTTGTTTCTTTTTTAATGCATTCAATAACAAAATCTAATAGTGTTTTTATAAACTAATTTCAAACTAGTGATAAGCACAGCTTCTCAAGATATTTGCAGTAACTGTTATGTGATATGAAAATATCTGTGATGTCTACTGGAAACAAAGTAAGAAGTTCTGCTAACACTACTGTGGTGTGCTGCCTACATTTTTTTATTTTTAACTGAAACATAGTTGGCATACAATATTATATAATTTTAGACATACAACATAGTGAATCAGTAAGTATGTACATTACAAAATGCTTACCATAAGTGTAGTTACCATCTGTCACCATACCAAGTTATTATAACATTATTGACAATATTCCCAATGCTGTACTTTTCATCCCTGTCTCTTATTTCATAACTGGAAGTTTGTACCTCTTAATCCCCTTCACCTAATTCACCTATCCATTCCCCCCCACCTCTGACAGCCATGTATTTATGAATCTGTTTCTGGTTTTTTGTTCATTTGTTTTGTTTTAGATTCCACGTAGAAGTGAAATTATATGGTATTTGCTTTTCTCTGACTTATTTCACTTAGCATAATACCCTCTAAGTCCATCCATGTCATTCCAAATGGCAAGATTTCATTCTTTTTCAATATTCCCAAATATTCCAAAATATAGAAGAGGAAGAAAAACTTCCAAAAATCAGAAACAGATTCATAAATACAGAGAACTGGTAGTTGTCAGGGGTGGGGGGTGGTGAAATAGGTGAAGGGGATTAAGAGGTACAAACTTCCAGTTATGAAATAAATAAATGACAGAGAAAATTATATAATATTGTATGTCAACTATAATTAAAATTTTTTTTAATGTAGGCAGTAAACCACAGTAGTATCAGCAGAACCTATTATTTTATTTATTTATTCATTTTAAGATTTTACTTATTTATTTGAGATAGAGAGCAAGAGTAGGGGGCAGAGGGAGAAGCAGGCTCCCTGCTCTGCAGAGAGCCTGAGGCAGGGCTTGATCCCAGAACTCCAGGATCATGTCCTGAGCTGAAAGCAGATGCTCAACTGACTGAGCCACCCAGGTTCCCCAGAACCTGTTACTTTAAATGTTTGGTAGAAGTCACCTGTGAAGTCATTTGATCCTTGACTTTTGTTTATTAGGATTTTTTTTATTGCTGATTCAATTTCATTACTAGTAATCAGTCTGTTCAAATTTTCTATCCCTGATTCAGTCTGGGGAGATTGTATGTTTCTAGGAATTTATCCATGTTTTCTGGTTGTCCAGTTTGTTGGCATATAATTTTTCATATTCTCTTATAATCCTTTGTATTTCTGTGATATGGTGTTTATTTCTCCTCCTTCATTTCTGATTTTATTTACTTGAGTCCTCTTTTTCTTGATGAGTTTGGCTAAAGGTTTATCAGTTTTATCTTTTCAAAGAACCAGCTTTTGGTTTCATTGATCTTTTCTATTTTTTCAGTCTCTCTTTTGTTTATTTCTGCTCTAGTCTTTATTATTTCCTTCCTTCTGCTAACTTTGGGCTTTTTCTTTTTCTACCTCCTCTAGGTGTAAGGTTAGGTTGTTTATGTGAGATTTTTCTTTTGCCTTGCTGTACGCTTCCCTCTTAAAAGTGCTTGGGTTGCATCCTATGTTGTTTGATTGGAGCACTTAGTCCATTTACATTTAAAGCAATTCTTGATAGGTACTTACTGGCATTTTGTTAATCGTTTTTTTATTGTGTTTGAGTTTCATCTCTTTCACCTATAAAATGAGGAGGGGAAAGCATACCTCTCATCTCCTTTTCATTAGGAAAGCTAGTCGACATTACAGGCTGGGTGTATAGATTACTATTTAACCTTTTATACCTCAATTACATACTTTAGAGGTTATCCTCAGAATCTTAAGGAAAATACAACTTTTTTCTGCTCATATTCCTACAACAAGGGCTTAATGTTTTTGATAGTCTTTGAAAGCTGAAACACTTGAAACTATTGACTCATGGTGTTTTTATGTCATACCTTGGGCTGGCACATTCCAAAGGGACTGACTTCATCAACCCAAGGGAAAATGCTCTTATACCATAAAAGTCTTGCAAGATAATTTAAAGGAAGAGCTGCATACTAAACATGATCAAAATAATCTTCTGTGTTCTCTCTACATTGAATAATTGACTAAAATATTACCTATGAATCATTTGATAAAAGATTACGTTTTAGAATTGACTTAATGATTGGTATAAAGAGTGGGTTTTAGCTGCTAATATAGACTGTGTGAGAAACTGCTGCCCCAGATTCAAACATGGTCTGAATTTTATTTTCAATGTAATGTACTATTCCATTTTATAAATATGCCAAAATAGATTTATCCTTTCTTCTGTTGATGGACATTTAGGCAGTTTCCAATTGCTTACAAACAACACCGATGTGATGAATTATTGTACATGTCTCCTTGTACTCATATATAAAAAAATTCTCTAAGCTAAGTATAAATCTTGAGAGGAGAATTCCTGGATTGTAGGATTACAGATGTTGAATTTTACTAGAGTTTATTAAATTACTCCTGAAAGTAGTTATACCAGTTTTGAAAGCAGTCTCTATAATAGAGACATGTGTTAACATGGATCAGTCTCATAAAATAATACTATATACTATTTAGGCATACATTTATAGTAAAATTATTAAAAAGGATTAAGAATGATAAACAAGGGGCGCCTGGGTGGCTCAGTCGTTAAGCGTCTGCCTTCGGCTCAGGTCATGATCCCAGGGTCCTGGGATCGAGCCCCGCATCGGGCTCCCTGCTCCGCGGGAAGCCTGCTTCTCCCTCTCCCCCTCCCCCTGCTTGTGTTCCCTCTCTCACTGTCTCTCTCTCTCTGTTGAAAAATAAATAAAATCTTAAAAAAAAAAAAAAAAGAATGATAAACAAAAGACCTTGACCTAAGTTACTGCTGTTCCTGAGACTGGCTGATAAGCTAGTGTTGGAAGCTGCTTGGATTTTAATCCCCCCACCCACCCACCCAGATCTCTGTGGGGCAGCACAATGTATTTGCTTCTGTGTTCTTTCCCCTATGAATGTCCTGAATTAAAAATCATGCCAAATAAGACAATACAAAAATTAAAGTGCTTATAAATGAGAACATGCCATCTGAAAAGTTTCAGGGCATTTTACTGTGTACCTAGAGGTTGAGTTAAGCAAAGATAAAAGAAGGATCCAGCTTAGTGGAACAGGAGAGAGATCCTGAGACAGAATGTGTTTTTATGCAGTCTTTGAAAAAAAACCAATATTAGCAATCACATTTTTAACAGTTCCTGAAAGTGTCCAGTAACTATAGGCAAGAAGTGTTTACCCTCTACAGGTAGGAAACAAGACACACAGAGGGGGAAAAGTTGATTTAAATAAAAAAATTTTGGATGAAATTTTTTCTGATTCAGGGATAAGCTCAGTAATGTTAATTGTTGGTTTGTATGAAAGGGTGGGTAGGATAGGAAGAAAATGTGGAAAAACACAGTTTGGAGGTTAGTGAATAAATATTAATAATTTCATTCCCCCAAATGATCATTTTCTTTAAAGAGAAAGATATGTCATCTTTCTCAGTTAGTGTTAAAGTATAATTTATTGTATAAGAACTTCATTTATTCAACTTTTATAATTCTGTCAATAAGACTGTCATCTTGCATATTGACAATTCTAATTATCCATATTCAAAATGTTTTTTGAATGTTAGATATCACAATTTTTTAATTGAAATTATTACCCACAAAGTCTCACTTTTATATTCATGAGTCATGTTAATTTGGAGTTTCCATAAACAATAGAAACCAAATTAGTTATCTCCGTACATGTAAATGGCTATAGCCTACTTTAAGCTATTGAAATAGCTATGTTAGTTGAAATAGCGTTCTTTACATATTAGAAAAACTTGGGATTGCTTTTATAACTTTTAAGGATTCTCTGTGATTTTTCCAAACTCATGACATCTTATTTTTCTTTTTAGAGTTGTGTGTGTGTGTGTGTATATGTATAACATATATATCCTTTTAGAGTATGTGCGTGTATATATGTATGTATATGTATATGTGTGTATATATATAATATATCCTTTTAGAGTATATGTATTAATAATATATATACACATAAAATTAATAAGCCTCATTTTATTATTCTTCTGTTTTACCCTAGATAAAAGTTAAACAGCTAGAAGAACAACTACATTCTTTTACTGAAACCAGTTCACAGAATGACCATCTACGCAAGTTGAACAAGGCTCTAGAGAGCAAATATGCTCAGGTGTGATTAATAGCTACAAAACAGATTGCTGTTATATTGTTTTAATTAGGTTTTAAGAAATTGATGCGTTTCTCCCCACCTTACCATATAGTCCCAGAAAGATGAATATTCTCTCATTTGACTCAATTCACAAATATTTTTTAAACACCCCCAATGTACAAGGTTTTGCTGAACTGTGAGAAAAAAAGATGCCTGAAGTAGGACTGGGACATTCCAACTTATTTATGCTCTAATTGTAGGCTTAGGAATGTACTCATAAACTTTATTATAGAATTAAAAGTTATATCTTTCAGAAGCAAAATAATGTTATGAGTGAGCATTCATAGGGAGCATCATTTTAATGAAAGCATCGAGAAACACTTTCATAGAGGAAGCGGTTTTATAATTATTGGCAAATTCAGAACTCAGTGCCAACAAGATACACCTGCACCAGACAGCTCACATGAAAGAGGCATTAGTATAAGTGCTTACTTGTCACTGTGGTGGCTGCTGAGGCTGAAAACCTTTTGTAGTTCATATAAAATTTTAACACATGAATGGAGAAAGACAAACAATGTAACAAAACATTTAGTGAAGAAAAATAATCAGAGTAGTTACATAGAAGACGACTTCATGTAAGCTGCTTGTAGTAAATGGTCCTATTTTTTCTCCCCAAGATTCACATTCCCTCTTTCACAGAAATTTCTGAAGTTGTTTTGAAAATTTCAATGAACACTTCACAAAAATGTAAAATTATCATACCTTTTCAAAAAATGCTAATATTATCAATTGAAATCAGTAGTACAAAGCCACTTACTCAACAAAGATGACATAACCCAAAACATTTACACTATTCAGTAGTACAAAGCCACTTACTCAACAAAGATGACATAACCCAAAACATTTACACTATTATAGGCTACACTTCAGAATCATTATGGCAATAAATTAATGGTTGAAAAATAATTAAAGCCATTATTCCTATTAATAGGACACAATATAAAGCTAACTTTAAGAGCTGATTAATTACTTAGGAGTCAGATATAGAACCTCAGGAAGAATTTTTGTCACCTCCACACACTCCCACAAAATAACTGTCCTCTTTTTTGTTTGTTTGTTTGCTTGCTTGCTTTTTCTTTTCTCCTTATTCTCCGGAATAACATCTAATTCAGTAGTTTCCAGACTTACAAATTTGGCCAACTGTAAAAATTATTTTTTGTTGAGAAAAAACTTGCCATGATTCTTTGTTCTTCTACATGTGACACTTACTGCCTCTTGTTTCAGACTCTTTTCAAGAATGAATATATAGCAAACAGCCTTGTGGGACAGAGATGGCGTCATCTCTCTCCTGACCAAAGGGCAGGCATGCTTATTGTCCATTATAGAAGATTCAAGTTCCATAAACTCAGGGTTCCTCTTTTCTAATGCTACTCATTGCATGTGCTAGTGCCATCTGGCCCTCGTATTGCCCTTAGGACTCAGGGAGTGAATGAAAATATGCTGATGCCCATGCTGTTTGTTGTGCCATGAAAATAAAGTCCTTTGTCCCTTAAAAAAAAAAAAAGAAAAAGAATCCAGGAATGTGTTACCAAGAGAAAGTGATTCATTTCAACAATTTAGATTTACCATGTATGAAATTAAAAAAAAAAAAAATCTTAAATACTCAGTATGTCTAACTTCTGTATCTATAATATTTTTGTTTGTATACCACTGGTAACCAAGGAGGTAGAATGTGTCTTCAAAGAGAATACTGTTAGGGTTCTAACCATCTGACTATACTAGAAAAGGGGGCCTCATTAGATACACTCTCCTACAGGGAATTCGATTTAAGGAAGGTCTGTTTCTTCACTAGGACAACTTTACAGTGTGATTTCTTCATTCTGAAAGCAAAGGAACACATTTTCAAGTATACTTTCCATCAGAGCTTCATTTAGAGTACTGTGTTGTTCCTCCTCATAAAAGGAGCACTCATTGAAAAATAACTCTAGGCTTAGTCATTTTACTGTTTTTAATTGGTGATGCCTCCAAGAAGAAGGAAATCTCCGGAGAGGCCTGCGTCTTCGAAATTGTTTGAAAGCTATAGGCCCCATGTAAACAACGTAAGGGAAAGAACTTCGTCAGTTGGTTTGCCCAGTGTTATTCCCAACTCTGCACGCCGTGTGACCTTTGCACCTACTCTGACTACTATGAGAGCTTCTCAGGAGATTGGAGACTCTAGAATCTCTCTAAAGACTCTTTTGAATGCTATTAAAACCATGGAGGGAAGACTGGAAGGTAAAATAGACATTCTTGCTTCAAGACCATTAATTAATGAATCACCAAATTTTCTTAAACGGGATTCGGTAAGTGAAGACCACAAATTAAGTCATAAGGAAATTTCAGATTTATACAACAATGAAGAAAAGTAGTAACAATCCAGAAAGATAATGTTTGGAGGTATGAGTAACAACAAGGAAGTTAGGTTCTTCACAAATAAGAAAAACTGACAATGTAGATTGAAACCATCATTTTGGCTAGCACATAACTAATTTTTAGAAAGATTTGGATTAACAATAGCCATTGAGATTTTTTAAATCTGATTTTGATTTTTTTAAAATTCAAAATATCTATCTAATCTTAATATTCATGGTAAAATGTTTAGATAAAGCCTGCTTTTAAAAGAGAAATACATTAATAAAAGCCCCAAGAACTTGAACATTGGAAAATATTTTCCAAAGAAAACTTTTTAGAGTATCCATCTTTGCTTGATATTTAAAAATAGAAATTACTATATAGTTTGTATTCTAGAGTTGACTACTATTTAGATCTTTTCTGTAAACATTTCTGCTAGTGGCCTTTTCATATGTATCTTAAAAAATTGGTAAAATTATAAAAACTGTATTCTTCCTTGAGTCCCTTTCTAGAACAAAATCGAGTAGGTTTTCAGAGTCTGTGAATTGACATCCTTTGTAATATTTTTGGAACCTTAAAAAGTATTTCAAATGTTATAGGTGAAAAGTTTTAAGGGAGTGTAATAATGTTGAAGAAGATGTAGAGAAAAGATACTGTTTTTTATTGCTGTTGGAAGTGTAAAATGTTACAACTTCTTGTGGAGGACAATTTAGTATCATTTCACCTCACAGTTATACTTTTAGGACTTTCTCCTACAGATATACCAGCTTATACATATGACATGCTTCCAAGATTATTTATTGAAGTACTGTTTGTTAATAGCAAAAGACTGGAAGCAACCAAAATTTCATCAGTAAGAGACTAGCTAAATAAATCATGGTGTATTCATGGTTTGGAATACTGTTTGAACATATGTATGTATATACTATATATGTATATAGTATATATGTATTATATTAAAACAGTCAAGGTTCAGAAGAGTATACATAGTATTTTACTATTTGTGTAGTAAAAGGGGTAGGAGGATAAAAAATATATACATATGTGAGTATGTGTGTGTGTGTGTGTGTGTGTATATATATATATATATTCACTTGTAATGTATAGAATAGCTCCACAATGCATCATAAATTGGCAACATTATTTTCGAGGAAGAAAACTGGATGGCAGGGAAATTTTTCACTTTACCCTTTTGTATCTTAATAATGTGACACCTATTCAAAGTAATTTTATGAACATTTCATTTTCAACAAAAGTGAAGGTAGAGAAAGAATGGTCTTTTCAACAAATGGTGCTGGAGCAGTTGGATATCCATATATAAAAACAAAAAGCCTATGATTCATACCTCACACCATATGTAAAAATTAACTCAGGGGCACCTGGGTAGCTCATTCAGTTAAGCGCTGGACTCTTGATTTTGGCTCAGGTCATGATCTCAGGGTCGTGAGATTGAGCGCTGCTTGCCCCTTTCCCTCTGTTCCTCCTTGTGTGCTCACTCTCTCTCTCAAATAAATAAAATCTTTAAAAAAAAAATCGATGAACTCAAAATGGATCAGTCCTAAATGTAAAACCTAAAACTGTAAAACTTCTAGAAGAAAACATAGGAGGAAATCTTTGTGATCTTGGATTACTCAGAGATATCTTAGATTTGACATCAAAAGCATGATCCATAAAGGGAAAAAAAAGATACGACAGCTTATGCTCTTCAGGAATATTAATAGAATGAGATATAAGCTGTAGACCGGGAGAAAATAGTTGCAAATCACATATCTTATAAAAGGCCTTGTCTCCAGAATGTATTAAACTATCAAAACTTATTAAGAAGAAAACAACTCAATGAAAAAAAGATATATGGATAATAACTAAGTACTTGAAAAGATGTTAAACATCAGTCATTAGGGAAATGCAAATTAAAACCACATTGAGATAGTACCACACACCTATTAGAATGTATAAAACTGAAAACTGATCATACCAAATGTTAGTGAAGATGCAGAGCAACTGGGACTCACACACACTGCTGAAGGGAATGTCAAATGGTACAACCACTTTGAAAAATAGTTTGGTAGTTTCTTTAAAAACGAAACACTACTGTATAACCCAGCCATTCCTCTCCTACATAGCTACCAAAGATAAAGCATAAATCTATACAAAGTCTTGTATACAACTATTCACAGCAGCTTTATTTGTATAGCTTAAAGCTGAAAGCAACGCAAGTGTCCAGAAGGTGAATGGATGAGTAAATTGTGGTATGTCCTACAATAGAATACTGTTCAGCAACAGAAAGGATCAAACTATTGATACATGAAAAAGATGGAATGAATCTCAAAATAATTATGCTGAGTGAAAGCCATTCAAAAAAGAGTACATACAATATAATTCTATCTATAAAAAATTCTAGAAAATAAAAACTATCATGACAGAAAACAGACTAGTTGCCTTGTGTGGAGGTGGGGGAACAAGGAGAGACAGAAGGGGGAGATTACAAAGAGGCATGAGAGAACTTTTGAGATGATAGAAATGCTTATTATCTTGATTATGGTTTCAGGAGTTTATACAGATGTCAGAACTGTATGCTTGAAATATACACAACTTATTGTAGGTCATTCATACCTCAGTCATGCTGTTTAAAAAAGGATAATGTGAACATATTACCTATACAAAAGTTAATTACATTAAAATGTTCAACATTCTTGAAATGACAAAACTACGGAGGTCTAGAACAAATTATTACTTGCCCCAGGGCAGGGGATGGATTTGGGAGAGTGTGTGTACAAAGAAGTAGCACATGTGGATTCTTTTGTGGCGGGATGGGGCAGTTCTGTATCTTGATTGCGATGGTGTTCATGTGAATAACGTGCATGGGATCAGATTACATAGAGCTCTGTGCATGCACACACACAGATGAATGCAGGTTTAAAAAAATGGGGAAAATGGAGTAAGTTCTGTAGTCCATTTAATCTGCTAGTTAACAATAATGTACCAAAGTCCGTTTCCCAATTTTGATGTTGAACTATAGTAGTGTAAGATGTCACATTAGAAGCAGGGTGAAGAATACATAAGACTCTGTGCTACTTTGGCAACATCCTATGAATCTAGTTATTTCAACACTTTTTAAAAAAATAATATTTAAAATAGTGTGATCATTTGAAATGATTGTGTAGATATACTAAAAGTATTTCAGGGATATAAAATCCTAATACTTCTAATTAGGATGCACTCTAACACTATTTTCTTGACACTACTTAGTATTTATTTGTCTTTGTTTTTGTTATAGTCTGCATTTGTTATACTCTCAAATTCCATGATAATCTGTTTCCCCCCCATTACATCTGACCTTCATAGTCTTATCTCCCTTATCACTTAGCCTGTACTTTCCTGGAGATTGACATCTATTAGGTTTGCTCGTGTTTACTCACACAGTTTTTGTTTTTTTTTTATTTTGCTTTGTAGTTTTCTTTAAAGGGAAAAATAGCTAATAAAGCTGGTGGATTTATTATAGTGGATAAGCATATTAAACATTTTAAGTTTGGTTTCCAAATTGCTGTGTCTTATTCTAATTGCTGATTTACAGTGCTTTGTTCTCTACTAAGGTGAAATCCATTCTTGAAAAGAATGAAGAGGAGCTCTCACAAGCCATGAAGTGTCGGGACGCAGCCCTGAAAGAGAGCCAGAGGTTGAAAGGGGACCTCGAGGCCTTGGAGGACAGAGAGAACAAGAAGGCAAGGCATCAGTCCTTTGTGAGAGTTTGTTACTGACACGAGGTGCTTAAGAAATCTTTTACAAGTCCTATTCCTTCATTTCTTGTTCCCTTGAATAAGAATGAGGATTGATCAGAGGAGGATTATTTTTCCTAAAGATAACTTTAGAAGAGCTGCAAAGTATTTGCCTTAAAAACACATCACTTAACTCCCAATCTTAAAAGAAAATGTCCTAATTTTTTTCTGTTGAAACACATCGGACCTTGGTAACAAAAAACTGTCTACTTAAGTGTTATTAAGACGTCACTAATTCTGATGGCTCTCAGATGTGTTCTCTTCTGGCCCCATCATGAGCTCACTGAGCAGACCAGCCTGGGACACGCACATGGAGAACCGGGAAGTTGTTGATGCCGTTGCCTCTGGTTAATACGCACGCTGTGTGGGAGGCCACTGTGGGGAAGCACTGCAGTTCCCCACAGGATGTGGGGTCTAGTGTTCCTTTTTCTCTAAGTCACAATAGCTTCAGATCTTAACAAGATAAACATGCTTCCGTTGTTCCTCTTAGCATTCTACCCATGCTTGCTTTCCATACTCTTGCCTAGAAGTAATGGGACTCAGCAACAGCAGAATAACCAGAAAGGATCAAATATCTTTGTCTTGTTTCATTTTCTCTTAGGTGGGAAACTTTCAGCGACAACTGGCAGAGGCTAAAGAAGACAACTGCAAGGTTACAATTATGTTGGAGAATGTGCTGGCTTCTCACAGTAAGATGCAAGGTGCTCTGGAAAAAGTACAAATAGAGCTTGGGCGGAGGGATTCAGAGATTGCAGGCCTCAAGAAAGAAAGGTACTGGAGATTATTTTTCTGTCTTTGTGCGTGTAGCTGTCTGCTGCATTATAGTAAGGAGCGGCGTGCAGTCAAGAACAGTCACACTAAACTAAAGAACTAGGCCCTGTTTGAGAAAAGCATCCTAGGAACTTGACCGGAAAGCAAGATCTTTTGGTGAATGCACTAACCTCGGCCTCTCGACTTCCCAAGCTGCTCTTACCTACAGGCCCCGGCCTGGAGCCACAGCCTCCACCCGGGGTCCCCCACCTCCTGCCGGGCCGTGCCTGATGCACGCTGGCTGCCCCCGCAGCCGCACCCTTGTATCCTGGCCATTCCTCCTGCCCAGTGGGGTTCTGTGCAACGCAGGGTTCTTTGTAAACCAACATGCTTATTGGATAGTCTTTAGTCAAGGGGAGATTTTTGTTTGGAACCAAGGACCTCCCTTCAGTCCTGAACAGGTTTTTCTTCCAATTCCAACCCAAAGTTTGACATATTTCCCTCTCCCTATTTTACTACTCACTAAATGTATGAATATGACCATTCACCCCCTTTACTATGCTACACTCGTAAAGTCCTCTATTTTTAGCTTTACATTTCAGAAATGGTGAAATGTAGACCTGTTCAATGAAACGCAATATTATAAAACATAAAGACCTAGAAAATTAGGGAGAATCTGGAATTAGCAATGAACATAATTTTCAAAGATTGAAAATTCCCGTATTTTGTAGTGATGTAAAGGAGTTGTATTCTAGAAGTTCGTGTGCGATATTGCTGCTTTACCTGTCCTGTTTCTACACCCTTTAAACCTGCTCTTGGGTCTACAGAATAATAGTTGTCTAGTCTAGGTAACTAAAGCTAAGTGCCTACTTGAGTTTGAATTATCTATATATTAGTGTCCTATTTATTTATTTATTTTTAAAGATTTTATTTATTTATTTGACAGGGAGAGAGAGACAGTGAGAGAGGAAACGCAAGCAGGGGGAGTGGGAGAGGGAGAAGTGGGCTTCCCACGGAGCAGGGAGCCCGATGCGGGGCTCAATCCCAGGACCCTGGGACCATGACCTGAGCCGAAGACCGACGCTTAACGACTGAGCCACCCAGGCTCCCCTATTAGTGTCCTATTTAAAGATTAATAATTATTTTAGAAGAATAATTGAGAACTACTTCTAGCCATGTTTTATGAGTAAACTCCTTCTTTGAATGTTTCAAGTTGCATAAAAGTTTCCCCTTGAGGTTAATAAACAAATGGTTTGAGTTTAATAATTTCTCTGAAATATACTGTAATGTGTATATTAATGGTGCATATACCCTCTGTGTTATGGGGGAACAGATGCCCGTTTTATATTCTCCATTGTACTTATCTTTATTTTTTACATATTATAAATATATGTTACCCCTGAACTTAAAAAGTTAAGGGGATGTATTGAAAATTGCTTGCCATTCACAATAAAATTCTAGGTAGTTGTATTTAGAAGCAAAATGTCAACAACAGGCCCGTCCATCTAGAGGGGATATATTTTTGTACTAGTGATTTGTATATATGTATAAAATTACCAGCTCATAAGTTAGTCATTAACAAGTATTGACAGCTTAATGTATTAAGCCAAATTGAATCATAGCTGGGACAAATTTTTAATCTCTGGGAGCCTTAATTTCTTAACCTGAAGCTGAAGCTACTAATTGTCACCTGCCAAGTCTTAGATACTCTGAGCATCTCTACTACATATGCTATTTGAGGTTCTTGGAAGAAGAGTGCCCTGTAACTCCCAGCGGTATCATTCCTAGATGGTTCTTTTCTGCAATCATTCTTCCTGCGCTTTCCATTTTTAGGGCTCTAAATCAACAGAGGGTGCAGAAGCTGGAGGCAGAAGTGGACCAGTGGCAGGCCAGGATGCTGGTTGTAGATGCCCAGCACAACAGTGAGGTAAAGGCCACTTTTTTTTATAGATGATAATGTTGATATTTTTTATTTTGGGGGGATATTGCTCTTTTAGGAAAATGGAGTAAAATAATCAGGGAAATTTCTTTGTTCACCAAGTCTGAGTTTCGGTTACAAATGGGAAGTGGGCCTGCTGGAGCCTTCCAGGGAGCCATTTATTGGCAAACCAGGACCACAGTTATGCCTAATTTTCTCTTTCTTATATGGTTTACTTCTTTTTATTTATTAATGCGTAAATAACTGCAGAAGTTAAAGTCTCAGAGAGTAATTTGTAACTTCAGTCAGAAGTTGTTGGAGTGATCCCACTATGAATAAGGAGACATATTTACATGTGTGTGCTCACGGGTGTAGGCACTTATGAATATATCTCTACATATATGCACATATATTAAAAAGCCAGGGGTATTTCATATAAATAAGCTTTTTCTGAAAGGACATACAAGGAACAAGTGCCTATTCTTATCTATCTAGGCAGTGACCCCTGAAGGTTATAGGATCAGAAAGGGGAATTTAACTAGTTTAAAATTTTAAAAATAAAAATAAAGTTGGCTCAGTTTTTCAAAGCTCACTGGTTATCAGTGGAGCATACTTTTCCCATTGCCTTCTGAGCATCTCCTAAGCAATGTCTGTAGTAAGTTCTCACATATATACCCCAGGCAGCTGCAGTCTTGGTTCTGGTTCCATCTAATTATTGTTTCAATGGCACTTGCTGGTAAAGTGTAAGGAGTGAATATATAGTGTTACAGACTTCTTGCATCTGTGATAGTGGAATTAAAAAGAGCCTTTTCTCTTTCAGATGGAGCCTCTGCAGAAAGCTCTCGATGTAGCTAGAGAAGACAACAGGAAACTGGCTTTGAGCCTGGAACAATCTCTCCAGACAAATAATCATCTACAAACAAAGCTCGATCATGTTCAAGAGAAATTGGAAAACAATGAACTTGAGCGACAAAATTTGGAAAGCTTCAGGTAAGGGCAGGATAGTCACAGTGAAATTAGGGAAGAGCCTCTGGGAGAGAAAGGTCAGCCAATCACATAAACCAGTTTGCGCCAGTCTTCAGCTTGGAACTGGTTCTCCCCGCAGAGCCCTGTGAAGGAACCAGACATGCCTGGTCAGCAGCAGACACTAGCTAGCTGGGGTGCGTTCATTCGGAGCTCCTGCTCAGCTCTTCCCGCCTCTAGTGTCAAGCTGCTGCTGCTCCACAGGAGGGTTAAACCAAAACTCGAAGAACATCGCACGTTTCTGCCAACGCTTTCCCATCGAAAGCTGATGTGTCCTTAAGAAGCATGATTTGGGAAAGGAAGAGCAACAGCCTGGGTGGGAATAACCCATCTAGGAGTGGAATGACTCCACCCAGGCAGATCCTAAACCATTGTTTTCCCTTGGGGCCTAAAATTAGTTAGGTCAAACCCATCGAGTTCAGGTCAAGCCCCTCATTTTTTTGTAAACTGCATCTAGGTAAATAGGATTTGGATATAAAATTTCATGAAAATTTTTAACCAAGGGAAATGCAGTGTGCACATAGATCTTTATGCCTTTCGGCTAGTGGACATACTGATACGTGAAAGGCATAAAACTAAAAGGCATGTTTTCCAATTTACGATCTGTGCAAATTCTGTAATGTAGTGAAATGTTGCTAGCTCAAGAAATGAGCCAGAAACTGTTGCTGGCTTGTTTATTGGTTGAAACAAGAGTATGCTTGACTCTTTGAGTTGGATATCTTTATATTGTGAATGACTTTTTGGCTTTTAATGCTACAGGTACATGCTTTTTTCCCCTCCTTCTGTTAATGGGCTCCAGACCAGCGAAGTTCACCTGGTGCCTGATCTGCTTCTTGTTTGTAAATCACACCTTTTGGACAGTTGCATGTTCCTCTCCAGGCCTTCCTTACCTCCTAAAGATGATTTCTAAGGGTGACTTCTTTTTTTCCCCCCGAAACAGAGAACGAATGACTGAGGAGTCTAAAATGGAAGCGGAAATGCATGCTGAACGCATAGAAGCTCTAAGAAAGCAGTTTCAAACTGAGAGAGAAACGGCCAAGAAAGCAGCACAACGGGAAATGACTGAGGTATGGAGTCAAGTGACAAGAAGTGTCTCTCTAGATGAGTGCCTTTTAAGAGCAGAACCAGTTACAGGATTTCCAAGCATGGCTGCAGTTGTTCTTTGGTCCTTCTAGTCCCTCTGTGATCAATAAGCCCAATGTGATCAAGCCATCTCTGTGCTCTTCATAAATCAAAACACAAAAAGCTCCTGATAGACAGTTCTCTGCCCAGCCAAGGAGTGTCTCCATGAGAGCTTTCCCACTGGCCAGTGATAACTGAGGGATAGAGGAAGGAAGTGGCTGCCCATTGGGTAGGCATCAAATCGTCTGTCCCTTCAATTTGCTTCACTAGCACCTCTTACTCGTTTACCTTCTCTTGAGAGGCACGTATGTCCGTGCTCTGATGTGTGCTACGTGACCCTTACTTAATTGTGATCTCCACTCTTTACATGAGACAAATAGGGTAAACAGCAGAGGACCTTTGTTGAGTAACTAGAGGCTATATACAATTCTGAAGGAACTCAGAGTAAGGGTTGGGTGATAGAAGAAGGGAAACGAAAGTACACTATTGAGCCGGGCAGAGCTGACGGGGCCAGGACACCCAGTGTAAGGGGATGACCAAAGCTTAGTTACAAAAATGAACAGGACGTGTGAGCAAATGAAGAGGATTTCTTTCTCCCGATCAGAGCAGAGATTTTGGGAAATGTCTGAGAAAGAGTTGGTAGCTGAGATGGTACCAGCTGGTAGCTGACCTTGACTGTCAGAAGGTTAGAGGTGAACTTTCAGGTCAAAGTGGAGTTCTGTGGCTTTCTAAGAAATGGGTGGTGTGATGTAACCACCCTTTTAGGAAGGGGAGTCTGGTGGTAGTGGGGAGTAGGCAAGCATGAAGAGAAATGGGAGGCATGTAGACCCAAGAAAACTAGGACAGTTGGGGCGCCTGGGTGGCTCAGTCGTTAAGCGTCTGCCTTCGGCTCAGGTCATGGTCCCAGGGTCCTGGGATCGAGCCCCACATCGGGCTCCCTGCGCTGCGGGAAGCCTGCTTCTCCCTCTCCCACTCCCCCTGCTTGTGTTCCTTCTCTCGCTATCTCTCTCTGTCGAATAAATAAATCTTTAAAAAAAAAAAAAAAAGAAAACTAGGACAATTACTTTGGGCTTTCGAAGATTAGGGCCAACCAACATAGTTAAGTTGAAAATAGAGAACAATTAAATCAAAAAAGTATTTTAATAGAAAAATCATCAAACAGACACTGAATTGTTGTATCATGAACAAAGGGGAGGGAGGAATTAAAATAACTCCAAGACTTGCTTGGAGTGGCTGGTCTGTAGGTCTATATTTTGCCAAATTTGGTGTATTTAGCGACTGCAATTTACAGAGACCATTTAGAAAATTTGTAAATTACAAAACACTATTTAAACATTAAAACTTTATAAGGGAAACAAAGGTACACTGAAATTAAAGGCACCTTTAATCAGAGATAGTTGTCAGAATACTTATAAAATTTAAATCCTTTTAACAAGGATCACTGAAGATTGTGAACTTGTGGGGAGACCAAGGGAAGAGTGAGAGTTGATGTTGGTGGTTAGCAGCAGGGTGGGCTCAGGGTGCACCACTCAAGAGTCCCGGCTCTGCCTCTTATTAACGGGGTGTTAATTAACTGCAGATAATTTCAGAGTCTCTATTTCCTCAGTCATAAAATGGAAATCATCATAACTACTTTCCAGGGTTTTTGTTTTTGTTTTTGTTTTTTTTAAGTTGGAAAATATATGTAATCATCACAGTGCCCGAACATAGTGAGCACAAAGTAAGTGATCATTGTTAGGGCTTACCCAGTTTTGACAAAGCTGTGATTGAGGTAATGGTAGAATATAAATAAAAAGGCCAGCGCTGTGGAATGGAGTTAGGATCTGAAGGAGTGAGCCAGTGTAGAAAGAAGATGCACAAATAACAGCACGTCAAACACTACCAGCCGTGCCGAGCACTGCATTCTTCTCCCCTGTGTGCTGCCACCTCTTCCTAAAAACCAAGCGGCCCTGATGTAAGGGTCCTGGAGGAGGAAAGGAGCTCTGTAAAACGATTTAAGTCATGTTAAAAGATAAACTGAGGCATATTAAACATTTTAAGAGTTTATTTGAGCAAAACTCAGTTCAAATCAGGCAGTATCCAATCTAGCGTTAAAAAGGAGCTTCAAGGAGTGGTACAAGATGAAAGGCTTTCAGAGGCAGCCAGGAGCCAGGAACAAGGTATATTAGGCAGAAAAGCAGGTTGGTTATAGAAAAGCACCTTCCTTTAGGGGATGGCAGGGGTTTTATCAGGCAGATTACTTGGTGGTTAGCAACAGTGAACATGCATTTCAAGGTTTTGAGAGAATACCGCACACTAGGGAGACTGCGATGATTATTATAAGCAGGATAATTCCCAACGTCTAGAGTGTCCTTTGGAGCCATGGTCCCCAAGACCCAAACCAATCAGTCTAATAAGGGAAGGACTCTGTTGAAGGAGTCACTTTCTTAAGCCAGCTAGCTTGTTCAGTAATCAGCTGAGTCTCAGCTTCCCCAGAAGTGTAGTCTAAGTGCAGCATGTGGTGTTGTCCCCAGCACAAACACCTCCTTACTCAGCTAAAAGATAATCGATAATATCCTATTATCCAGAACAAGTTCAGGCAGAGAGTCTAGGGGTTTTTGTTGGGCAGCTATTTATCAGCAGATTCTGCAGTACCTTTAAGAGTTAAGGAGAGGTTTCTGATTGTAGCCCCATTTACACATACTGCTAGCCAAGGCACTAGGGATCTGCCAAAGGAAGCTAATTTTGAATCGTGAATGCCTCCTGGTAAGTACTGTTTTCAGTCTGTGGCTCAGGACTGGAAAGGTGACAACAGTGGAGGCCAGTAAAATTTAAGTCTGTAGACCACACCAATTTTATTCTAGTTCCCTTTGCCTATGTCCCTTGTTTGTACAGAACCTGGATGCAAGATTCCCCAGGCTTAGAGTTTTTAACCAGAAGCAGAGAAGTTGACCCTTGGGTGTAGGGAGTATGATACAATGGAGATGGGGGAGAGTTTGGTCCAGAGAAACTGACGCATTGGAAATCAGGGAGAAGTGTGTGATGGGCAGAACTACAGGATCACCAACATCATGGCATTTCCACCAGTTGTTTGAAGGTTGGATTACACCCTTTGCAATGGCATCATTTTTGCAGGCCAGAGCAAGGCAAAAGGTAGGCAAAAGAATCCTAAAGACCTTCATGGTATAAGAATTAGGAAAATGATGGTCAGAGAGAGAAGGAAGAATGGAAAGAAACATTCTTGATCTGACATCTTAGGCGGAAACAGTCTACCCCAATGTCAGCTACTTCTCAGTCAGTTTGATTTTGAGGCCTCCACACCTCATATTTACATAGGACCAGATGTCAGATGGAGCCTTCTTCAGTTGTGAAATGTGCACCAAAGGTTTGATACCTTCTAATTTGGCAGGGGTGTCAGTGCTCAAGAGTACTTAGTAGGGTCCTTTCCAGGAATCTCCCTTTTGCAGAAGTATCCACGTGTAACAACAGCTGACTTTAATATGCTCATGTTTAAAGATCTGATGAGAGTTCACTCTAATAGAATTGATAAGGATATTGGCTTATATCTGTGATATACACCATTTTAAGATAATTGGAATTATGACTGATAAAAGAACATACCAGATTTTTAGGAATTTCCTACAATTGCTAGAACACATATTAATAACACACATTGTACAAATATAAGACTTATCATCACTTATTTGACAGTGCTTCCCATGTAATTTAGCATACCAAATAAACCTAATTAGTTTAACATTTCTCTTTTACATGGTGAGACACAAATACTTTGAGATCAAAAAAGACTCCATTTAGAATTTGATTTGGGGAAGTTGTCAAAACATTTGAACATTTGACTATGATCACAAATTATTATGAAATATTATTTAAACAAAGTGACAATAGAAGTTTTAAAGGCAAATACAGAAAGTTATATAGTTGTGAACAAAACTTAGCTCTTAAGAAAACCCAGTCTTCTCAATGTTAAGTAATAAAAGACAATGTGAAGCACAGTAAGTTATTTTGCTAGGATGTAAAAATCTTTGTTTTTCAGGGAGATTACCCAAAAGATTTAAAAAAAAAAACCAAAAACCTTTCAGAGACTCTTATCAAGAACAGACCAATAGTCCAAGAAAACTGTCCCTCTAATGAAGAGAAAACCAAATTCTAATTTTGCACCAAATTCATTCTTTAAAAACAACCACCTTGACCACACATAAAATTCCTTTCTCAAGACTCCTTTTCCACAAACCAACTCTTTCTTTTATCCATTCAAACTTTGTTCTGTGTCTTTTCCTCTTTCTCATTCTGGAGCAGTCAGTCATTTTACTTCCCTTACTACTTCTCATAGTTATTATTTTGAAGTAATTTTAATTACACATATTGACTAGAATCCTTAACCCTTAGAACCCTTATTCCTAGTGAAAACTAAGAAATAAGCAGTTGTGGAGTGTGTTACACTAAAATTCTGTGGGTTGGCAAGTTTATAAATACATTTCTTACTTTCTAGAAGAATATTCTTCCTCATGGTAAACTTTCTAATGTAGCACACAAAAAAAATGTTTACTAACCCAAATATCTTTAGTTTCTCTGTAAAAGAAAGCCAAAAGTGGATAAACCTATGTTTAGTAATTAATGTTTTGGTATTTTATTTGGAAATGATCTAGATATTCAATGAGTATCCACCATTTAATTTATTTTAGGGTGATTTCAAGGTTTCTAGTTAACAAAAAATTGGGTAATTTTACCCAAAATTGGAAAATTTTATCCTACCTCTCTTTAACAACTATGTTTAGATTACTGATGAAAATTTCATGAGATATTAAACAGCTTACCATGATCTCAAATTTCTTGCTGACAAATTCTGTAACAGAGATAGATGAGCCTATCTGACTTTTAGTAAATGTGGTAAAACAGAAGTATTACAGCTAATGCTGATAATTCTGAAGACATGGATATTTTAAGTAAAAGGTAGCTTAAGTTTGTTGTTTTATTTGTTGACGATTATCCTAGATCTTGTGAACTTGATATGTATAAATACTTGTCTTTAAACCAATTAAATAGAGCTCTTGATAAATTCATTTCAAAGGTAAGAAAAAAGTCTCTAACGTGCATACAAAGACAAACATACAGACACAAACAGATCTTACAAGTTTCATTTTACAACTTTAGTTTTGAGACAGGTACAATAATGCAAAACTCACTAGTTTATAAAAGAACAGTTGGATCCAGATTCTGTTTTTGGCAAATGGAATAAAATTAAGGTTACCTGTTCAGGCTCAAGCTTTTAACTCCTATTTGTGAAGGAGAATTTTAAGATTTTTCATGGGCCTACTTTTCAAAATATCCTTTTTTTTTTTCCCCCTCCTGGAAGAATTGTCTTCATTCTTGGAAAAGACCAAGTAGAATACTTACATTTCAAAAGTCACAGAAAAAGAATATAAGTTGCACCAAGGAGGATTTTGTTCCCTAAATCCAGATCTTTTACAATATCTGCAAGCCTTAGATGAATTAGGGGAGTTTTGGGGATTGGTAAAAAATTTGAATTAGTCTAGGCCTGAATTTATGTTCTTGTACACTTGATTTATAAGACAAGTACAGTTTTTGATTTATCAAAGAATTGGGTTACAACCTTTAATAATATACAGACTGACCCACCCAGCCAACTACATTATCTTCGATTTGCTTCTTTGTATCCAAAAGATTCCTATGTTGCAGATTTAGAGTTGTGTGTCTTTGGAATATTTTAGTAAATGCTCCCATAGAGACTTGAGAATGTTTCTCTTTCTCTCTAGGTACATAGTTTCATTTTAGCTGAGGGGAGAAGGACTTTTCCTTTTTCCTCAGCTTCACTCTGACCCAAAGTATCAGCACTCACTAGGTGAACTGCTGTTGACAAAAAATACTGCCATCATGGCAGGGGGAAGAAAGGAACTTCTAAGTCTGTCAGGCTCTGAATATGGCCATCTTCTGACCATAGAGCTACTTGAAATCCTTTCAGATATCTTGCCAGGTTTTAGCCATGACAAACAGTAAATATTCCTAGCATTACTGAACAACCCCATGGATGCAAGAGGGGTCCCCAGAGAGGACACAAAAGATAATCCCCACCCAAGATCCAGAGCCACCCCCAAAGATAACCAAAAGAATTGTCCTGGCTGGCATCAGTCAGGTTCCTAGCCAACCATAATTTTAGAGCCTCTAACCTGATGGTTGCCTAGCCAAGTTCTCAGGACACAAAACCAGATAAACAAGAAGGCAGTAGTTGTCCCTCGGAGACAAAGGATCAACTACCAGTGGGTACCCGAAAGCAGATTCACAAGACACAATTCAAAGATCTAATTCTTACACCTATCTTTTCCCTGTCAGTCTGAATTTGGAAGGGATGTGAAATTTTACCTTCCTCTCTCAACCAGACACCACAGACATTTGAGAGAGCTGACTTTGGTAAGACTTGTCACCCATTGCTAGCTTCTGCTAGTTTTCCAGATCCTGTCTGTAGGCTGTGGGCAAGTGGGGAATTCCAGCGGGTCTCATTCTAGTCACCAGAAACAAGAGAGGATGAAAAATAATAATTTTCCTTCTACCCATTGTAAGTGCTTGGCTTTGCTTCTCTAGAGTACGTCATCCATGGATAAGCTTATTTAGGTTAAAAGTTCTCCATGGTAGCCACTGTACTTCCAAATTATCTGTCTGTTCAGCCTTAAAGTTTTATTCACCTGAGGCCTCGCACTGGACCCACTCCAACTCTGGACCCAATTTGATTTTAGGGTCAGAACCAATCTAACTCCAGTCAGTTTCTGGACCTAGTTCAGAAAAACAAAGGCTCAAAGTCTGACAGCTGCTAACACAAAGCCGCAGAGCGAGGATCCAATAGGGACTTACTGTGACCTCCAGAGGCTTCAAGGAAGCAGGGAGCTCAGTGGGTGCCTACACCTGGTTGCTTGTTGCTCCCAGGGATCATTGCTCTCCTTCCTTTTTCTCTTCTGACACCAGAACTGTTAAATATTTAATATGCCTCAGTTTATCTTTTAAGAGTTTATTTGAACAAAAATTGATTCAAATTGGGCATTATGCAATCTAGCAGAGAGCTCCAAGGAGCTGTACAAAATGAAGGCTTTTAGAGGCAGAAGGGAGCAGGAACAAGTCATACGAGCCAATGACTTGAGTTGCTTATTGCAGAGTTTCTTTCCTGCAGGGGATGGCAGGGTCAGGCAGATTACCCAACTCGTGTTGATCAGGCAATTCCTGAAGGACTCATTTAAGAGTTCATTTCTGGGAAAGCCAGAACTAATTCAGTCTCAGTTTGGTGACATGGGGCTTAGCATACAGGATTCCATTTGGGGCTATCGTCTTGTTTTTAAGAGTAATCTCTATGCCATTTTTCTGCCAGACAAGTTTATTAAAATCTTTAAAAACTGAAAGCAGTATTATAAAAATCTATACAATGGTAGTAACGGGCAAGTATTTATATAAATTAGCCTTCTAATTTTCAGTTCTCCAGACATGAAGCCACAAGCAACAGAAAGGAAGAGAAAAGCTTAAAGCTGAGCATATGTGCCAGGCTCTCCCTTCTTTCTCTACTTTATCTTACTTAACTAGGAATCCTAGGAGATAGGTCATTTGCATACTTGGCTAATAAGTGCTATAGCTGAGAGTTGAACTTAGGTTGGACTCCAAAGTCATGCTCTTTAAAAGCAAATGATGAATATATATTGTTTATCTGTTCTAGGAAAGATTGTGTTTAGTGTTAAAAATTAAAACAAGAAAAAGGATGAAAACCACTTAGAATTTTGCCCCACAATTCTTAATGAGACATCATTATTATTGCCTCACTTACCCTCCTCTTTAAAAGAAAGGTCCAAAGAGAACTAAATACGGGGACAGGCCTAATCATAAGCTTCTCTTCCAGACTGGAAGCTTAAAATGATCAAATTTTCCCTTTGTGTTCCACAGCTGAAGAAAGCCCTTGATGAAGCCAACTTCCGATCAGTGGAGGTAACCCGGACCAACCGAGAGCTGCGGCAGAAACTGACAGAGCTAGAGAAGATCCTGAACAGTAGCAAGGAGAAAATAAAGAATCAAAAGGCCCAAATTAAGCTCCACTTGTCGACCAAGGCGAATAATACTCAGAATGTAGAGAGGATGAAGGTTGTATGAGAAATGCTAAGTCTCCCCTCACTTCTTTAGTATCTGATGAGGATCCAGGCAGGTGGCGGGGTCCGGTGAAGATGGTTCCAGAGTTCTCTGGGAATTAGAGCTACACCTGGGGTGTGGGCAGATTGCCGGGGAGCCTGGGGGGGTTACTATCTCTTTTTCCAGCAGAGATATTGCTGTGTAAATGTGTGGTTTCTCATTAGCTGCCATGTCACCTTCTGGCCCCCCCAACTGCCTCTTCCCCAGTGGTTGCATACAACTTTGCTCTTTTAGGGTAGTGGGCCAGACAGGAAGGAGGACCCAGGAGGAGCTGCTAACTGTGGGTCTCATGGGATTCTTTCTGTCATCCTATAGGCAAAAAGAGCAAGCCAGTTTTTCCACTGATCATCTTTCTATGTTATTTCCACATTTACTTTCAGCAAATAGAAACAGAATTGAGGCAAATGGAGCTAATTAAGGATCAATATCAGAAAAAAAATTATGAACAGGTAGGTGATTTTCACAAACTGCATGTTTACCATTCACATAAAATCTCAGACTCAGGTTCACCAACTGCTTCCCTCTTTGTGCCCCACCAGTCACTGAGTATCCAGAGGTTCGTATCCGAAATGACTAACCTACAGAAGGAGATGCAGCTGTTGGCCAAGAGCCAATATGAGACGTCAGCACGGAATAAACAGCAAGAGCTGCGACTCGAGGCAGAGCGGAAAATAAGGCAGGAACTGGAGAGCCGGTGCCAGGTGAGAGGCTTCCTCAGACTCCTCTGAGATGGGCAGCAAGTGACATGTACTGAAACCCAGCATCAGAGCACCTAGATTTTCTAGATTCTAAAGAAGAAACATAAGCCTGCAAGAGGAAGAAGCCTATAGCTGAGAATATGGCACATGTCCTCAATTTTCGATTTATAAAGTACTCATTCTTAACAACTGAAGCTCACATATGCAAAATACTGGTTCCTAAGACTTTGGAACTGAATTTCCTAGTCTTTCAGGAACTTTATAGCCTTTGGTCCTTCCCTGAAGCTCAGCTATCCCTGCTGCTGTGACAGGACTTGCAGCTCTACCCAGCCTTCTGAAAAGCACAACATTCTGTCACTGAATACAGGGACTTCAAGGGATCATCACCGACACAGGACGGTGTCTCCTGTGAAAAAGTATCCCTTCAGTTCTGGAAAGAGATGTCAATCTCTTCCTCCTCAGGAGAATACATAAAATCAAAATCTGTGATCATATGCATTATGTATACTATGAGAGTAACAGTTTTTATCTTGGTAGCACGTGAAGTTAGAAAGTACAACCCCATCATACTTTCACAATTTGGTTGCCCATTTATTACAATATGGAAGCTTCCTGTTCCATATGGTATACCGGGAATTTGTAAAAATCTTTGTATCACATTTCCAGGAATTGGAAGAAACTGTCAGACACCTAAAGAAATGTAAAGAGGCAACAGAGCATAAACTGAAGGAAGCCAGTGTGGAATCAGAACAGGTAAGCCACGGACATAAAGACTTAGACATTCAAGGTAAAATCCTTCATTAACATAGTTGTCAGGAGTGTAACAGGCAAGAACCAATAACTTAACTAAGCCTAATATCTACTATGAAGAATAATTTTTAGATTGAGATTCTGTGTCCTAATAAAAGAATGTTGAAATACTGACTAAACTAAGTCCAAGTCTCTACCCCTAAATATAAGAAGGAAGACCAGCATGTGTGTAAATTTTAATGCATTACTGCTTGACATCACTAATAAAAATGGAAGCTCTTTGTTCAGTCAATAACTAGAAATGTAAAGTAGGCCCTCTTTTTTTTTTTTTAAGTTTTATTTTTCTGAAGTAATCTCTCCACCCAACATGGGGCTCAAACTCACAACCCTGAGATTAAGAGCTGCTTGCTCTTCTGACTGAGGCAGCCAGGCACACCTCATAGGCCCTTTTAATTTGGGAATTTGCTTTCTCTAATCTTAAATTGGCCTTTTTGAAGGTATTTAAAATCATACATTTTTTAGAGCTGGAAAGGATCTTTGAAATCATTGTCTGACACAACCACTCCTCATTTTCCAGATAAGAAAAGAGATTCTTAAGCTATCATAGTGATGATGTCATTGGTTGGTCATGATTTGTCCTTTTTATAGCCATTAAATGACAGGACAATAGGACTATCAGAATGGTATATTAAAAGGAATATGGACTCTGACACGCATGAGTTTGAACACCAGCTGTGACACTTTCTGTGCCCTTGAGGATGTTACATTTACATTAACTCCTCAGTTACCACATCCCAAAAAGTCGGGATAGTAAGACTTACTAAGCCGTTATGCTGTTAGATGACTCAGAGGACGCCTCAATAAGTAGTACCTCCCTTCTCATTCACCGTACAAGAGGAGACATGATGTACAGGGCCATTTCAAGCATCTTTCCCTCCACCCCTGGTAAAGCCTGCGAAAGGTGGGGTTGGGTTTGGGGGAGCGGGTGGGAGAGTATCACTGGCATTAGGATGTACGAACAGCCCTGGAGAGTGCATGAGCTTTGTAGCTTTCTGAAGGTTAAATGCCAAGGGGAGCTTTATTTTCTTACCTCACTATTTTGTACCCACACAAGGACCTGGCTAATCTGGGACAAATACTTAGTCGCACATACTGACTGTGGACCTACCCTATGGTGGGCGCTGGGCTGGGTGATGGGGCGCTGGATGAACCAAGCCCGAGGACGCCCCTGCTTTCACGGAACTTGCCTTCTCCCAGGCAAGAGAAATACCTGACTTGAGAATCAAAAAACGAAAATGCTGTCCATGAAACAAATAATCACATGGGGAAAACAGTCATTTTACTTTTTATTCTAGAGGATATGTTTTGGAGCTGTTTTGAAGTAACCTTTATATAACCCCAAAGCATGTCAGCTTTACCTTAAAATACTGAAGTATCCCAAATACATACAAGAGTGCCAGGCACATATAGGCACTCCGTAAATATTTGTCAAATGATTCCAGATCATCTTCACAGGCAGACTACTAGAAGGACCGTTTAAGTCTAACAAAGGTAATTTAGAAGTTTGTGCTTAGGAGCTAAAGTATACAGTATTTTGAGGATAAAGGAAATAAAGAGAATGCAATTTACACTAAGCTAATCCAGTCTTTTACTAATTCAATTACTTTCATAAAGCCCAACAGAAAGATCTAGTGTAGGGACTTTGGAGAACTATTTAGTCTTAGAGAACAGAACTCAAAAATTCAAACTATGGTTTGAACTACCATATTTGTTAGCAGTGCCATCTTGTCCTTTTCATTCTTATTTTCCTCCTGGGTCCTCTCACTTCCATTCACATCCAGGAAATGTTAATAAATGCATGAAAGCAGCAGGTTTGCATGCATTCAGCTCTGCATTCAGAAATCACTCCCATCTGTAGGAGTTGTGTTATGCAAATATGTTGTTGCAAGGACCTTGCACTCAGAATTTGGGTCTTTTAACATCTGGGTCAAAAAGTCTCTGCAACTCATACACAAAACACTTATAACTTTCTTTGTTGTGATTTTTACTGATAACACTTATATGTCCAGATAACAGCTAACCTGGAAGAAGCTCATCGCTGGTTTAAGTGCAGGTTTGATGGCCTCCAACTTGAGCTGACCAAAAACCGGTTGCAGAGGCTTCCCCGAGAAGATAGGTGGCTGGAAGAGGTAGGGTATTTACACATGGCTGTCTTCAGCAATTTTGGATTTGTTCCTTCTCATTTTCTCATTGCAGAAGTTCTCTCTTCATCCAGCTCCTCTCCCCACTAATCTTTAGATTTCTTTAAACTGCAAGGAAAACAAACAGTTTCTTCCTTAAAAGTTGCCCATCTCCCAAACTGTCTAGATTAGAATCACTCACCTTGATGAATAGATTATATTCATAAAGACAAAATAGGTCCTCAGCTCTGCAGGTAGTTTTGAACAGTGTTAGGTCTGTTTTCTCTCTAACAGGACCAAGGTAACTGGCACAATGTTGCATCCAGCCAGTCTGCTCTACATCGATGGGAGAATAAACAGAATCTTAAACTTGTGCCCAAGAAGGGTCATTCTGAACTAGAGAGAAAGTGATGTCCTTGACAGAGGCGCTTCTTCCTTTAGAGCTACACTGCCATGATTTCCTGAGCCTGCTGACCAGGGCTGGCCTTGCCCACAGTCATCAGAACATGAAGTCTTTGATGTGGGCTGAAGATTTTGGACTTGAGTTTATCGTTTTATGAGCTTGGTGATATCAGTACAGAACCACCCCATCTTTTTTGTCCTTTTCCCCATTTTCCACCCAATAAATTTATATTAATTTGTTGTATGATAGGTGATGCTGTTGCATGGTATTTGGCTATTTTTCTAAGTACATTTTATCAAAAAGCACTTAGTAAGGTACTAGATGATATGGCAACCAAATGATAGACTAGGGCATTTCATTGAAACAAAATATCCTAACATCCAGTAGATAATCCCTGGAACTGGAATCACCTGGAAAATGGTAAAACTCTTCCACAGTCATACAAATGTATACCTTTTATGCTAGGTAAATTACCTAGTAAGATGATATCTCTATTTTGTATTTTATTGTTTGTTTTAAGCAAGTTCTACCCCCAGTGTGGGGCTTGAACTCACCACCCTGAGGTCAAGAGTCACACACTCTACCGACTGAGCCAGCTAGGCACCCCCATATCTATTCTTATATAAGAGATTGTATTTACAGCTTCCTTGGACATTTACAAAGCAAATTATTCTGTAGAGCAGTCTACTCTGCTCCAGGAAACTATGCCTGACCAATGTAGCTTTTCCTTACTATAGTAAGCAATAAATTCAGATTTTTAATTTCAGATACTGAGTGGTAGATTATATATATTAAGTCTGGATTACCATAATAACTAGCTTAATTGATGCTCAAGCCATGGCAGCTACTGATACTATCAGGACCTAAATCAAGTGAGCAATTGTGAAACTGGAGAGAATATAAAAAATAAGACTCTCAGAGGTTGAAGAGCCCACCACTCTTTGTCTTATATAAAAAGACAAAGCTGAGTTTAATGCTCACTGGTAAAGAAGAGCTGTGTTGGTCAGCCAGAGTCCTCCCTGAGCTGAGCAGACTGCTGATCTTCTATAGGGTGTTGGGGAAGCAAGGAGGTCAAGGATTTCAAGACTTTCAGAGGCTTATGAGGCCTCTGTAGAAGTGTAGTTAATGGGGGTGAGCCGGTTAATTGGCTTTCAGGGGCAAGTTTATTGGAGTGGGTCCATTCCTGTTGTCGGGCTTTCAGAGGTAAGGCCTCACTGATTGGCAGACTGGTAAAAGCTGCCTCAAGTTGTCTAACTCCCACAGGCTCTATCCCTTTGGACTCCTCATAAGATCTAAGATAAAGTCAATTGAGGGTACCAGGGAGTCAATCTTGAAATAGTTTAACCAAGAGCCCCACAAAAGAGTTGACCTTAGTCCTGAATTCTTTGTAGGAAAAAAGATCCCAGTTACTGCATGGGAGAGATGATCAACCTTAATGGATTGTAAACCTACCGTTTCTGAGTGTTGTCATGACATTGACTGTTACTGGCCAAGAATATGTTTATCTTCATCCAGAACAAAGACATTTTTCTTCACTTGTGTATGGTCTTCAAAGAGTATCACTATTAAAGTCAGTGTAACGTACCTTTTTATCATTTTTTAGGTTGGGTATACTAAACAAACATTAGCTTGAGAGAAGTGAATTATAGAGTTAGGTCGGTGATCATTTCTAGTAAAGCTTATAGTTAGAACCGCCTGTTTAGAATGATGAATTTGCTCAAGTGTTTCTATAGTACCTTTGCAAGTGTCTATTGTATCGTATACTAGCTTCCATTGTGGGCCTCTACTTTCATCAGAAACAACCAAAAAACAAAATGTCAAACAGTGGTTTTTAAGACACCAGACATCATGCAACAAAAGTGGTCCCTGAGAGAGAGGACGCAGATGAGGTAAACCCTACTATTACCCCAGCTTACAGCCTTCAGAGTGTTCATGCTGCATTGCAAGGAGGGGAAATCAACGTGAACTCCCCGAATTAAGGAACCAGAGCCCAGGGAGACATGACTGCCAGAGTCCAGGACCAAGTCCCAGAGAGGACAGAGCTGCACGGAGGGAGAACTTCAGAGAGGTCCCAAAGTTCCTCTGAGTATTCAGCTGAATACATGCATGGGAGGAAACCACCCAAGGCTGGAGAAAGAATCATCCAAAAGGGCCCGAGTTAACAGCACCCACCGCACACAGTACCAGTTCCCACCAGCCAGAATCAGAAACCTCATGCTTTCCAGGACACGGGGGGGAGTATACTAAAGAGTATCGGTCTCAGATGTAGAGACGAGTTAGCCCTACAGGAAACACTGCTCTGCTCCTACCTAACGAATCTTAAAAGCAAGACCCCAGATGACCCATTTCCAAGTGACTGCATTCCAAAACAGAGCTCAAGAATATTTAGAGGAATACAAAAATATATGGCACCCATCAAGGTAAAAAAAAAAAAAAAAAAAAATCACAATTTGTGGTATTCAATCCAAAATTATCAGACATACAAAGAAGCAGGATAATTTGACCCAGAACTAACATAGATGTCAGGAGTGACAAAGACACTAAAACAGTTACTGTAGCTATATGTTCAAAGAATATTACAACAATGGATGGTAATAGAAGATTGAAAATAATTCATAATTATTAACTAGTAGAAAAATGATAGGTGGTTTGCTTTAGCAGTGGAGACTTACCACATGTGGTAACAGGCTTAAAGGGGATCCTGATACAAGATCTGAAGACGCTTTGACTAATTTTTTTGACAACTGTAGTTCTGAAGCAAGGAGACTAAGCTGTGGCTACTGAATTAAGGGATAGGCAATGGTAGTATGCTGTTTTAACACCTACCCACCTTTTCATGTTAGTACAAAAAGATTTATGAAAATCTAGGAAGAATCCATCTGGATTCTGACCAGTGATCCCAAAGTATCAGATACGGGTTGAGACTTAGGAAAGGACTCAAAATTGCTGTAAGTTCTCGTTTTTTAGAGTGGTTTTAGTAAATCAAAGCAAATAATGTTCATTTCCTCTCAAACTTCTATAATTACTACACATTTTCAAATTCATCTTTTATTACCATCTTTTTTTTTTTTTCTTAAAGATTTATTTATTTGACAGAGAGCACAAGCAGGGGGAGCGGGAGAGAGAGAAGCAGGCTTCCCGCAGAGCAGGGCTTGATCCCAGGACCCCGGGATCATGACCCGAGCCCAAGGCAGACGCTTAAGCAACTGAGCCACCCAGGCGCCCCTATTACCATCTTTTGTCGTAAAGTCACCTTTATATTAAGACGAAACCACTCTCTCACACACTGTAAGTCATTTTGCTTTTTCTTTTTAGGCAACTTTTTTGTTGGGGGGAGGGACAGAGGGGGAGAGAAAATCTTAAGCCAGGCTCCACACCCAGTGCAGGGCCCTACATGGGGCTCGATCTCCCAATCCTGAGATCATGACTTGAGCTGAAATTAAGAGTCAGATGCTTACCTGACTGAGCCACCTAGGCGCCTGCTTTTTAGGCTTTAACATTTTGGCCTGAAGGAGCAGATGTTCCAGAGTAGTAGGATTAGTTGTAGCTAACACTTGCATCAAGCGCTGTTCTATTCCACTTGGGAGTTTAGAGGAAAGACAAGGAATTGTGGGCTCATCTCCCCCAGAGTGGCATCATTAGATTTCAGAGGGTTGTCCTTCAGTTTCTATTAGCCCAATGACATTTTTGCTTAGAATTTCTCCCAATCTCTTTATTGACAGAATTCCAATTCTTAACAGATCTTTTGGCCTCATTTTTATCTCAGGGTCAGTTGTTTTATATAGACAGCCAGAGCTTGTTTACTCTAAGACTCTTCCAAAAACTTCTAGCTACAGATTACTGGTTTTCCAAAATAAGTTTCACATTTCAATGTTTTTTCTTATTAAATTCCCTAGTTTAGATTTGAGTCCATTAACAAAAAGGACATAAGGCTCTTACTTCAGCTTTTGGGTCTACCTCAGGATACCATTTGAAAGAAGAGGGGCGCCTGGGTGACTCAGTCATTAAGCATCTGCCTTTGGCTCGGGTCATGATCCTGGGGTCCTGGGATCGGGCCCTGCGTCGGGCTCCCTGCTTCTCCCTCTCCCTCTGCCTGCCTCTTTGCCTACTTGTGCTCTCTCTCTGTCAAATAAATAAATAAAATCTTTAGAAAAGAAAAAAAAAAGCAAAATATCTAAGAAATTTGACTATTGGATGGTATTTGGCATCTCCTCAAGAACATTTACTCTGGGCTCTTATCTCTGATCAATCGCATTTCAGTGAGCAAGATGACTTTAGGTTCCACTGTTCTACATCATCTGATGTTCTCCACTTTGGACTTCCTTGGGCAATAGGGACTCTAAACCATTTGCTAATACAAGCCATTTTATAAGTGGTCAGAAACAATGTACAATATATAGAAGACTAGAATAGACTGGAACATTTTCTGCTTACCAACCCCAGCAGAGATTTCATATAGCTCCAATAAATCCAGGATTGAGTCTCATTGGATGGGCTGATGACATGTCCACCCTCAGTCAATCACTGTAACTTCAAAGATAAATTATATACTAATTGGCTAGGTCTAGAGGTGAGATGTATCCAACTGGAACTGAGAATAGTTCCCCAAAGGAAATCTCAGTGACGTTCCTAGAAGGGGAAATGGAGGTAAGTCAGATCAAAACCACAGATGTCTATCACAACCGTCAAAAGACTGTAAGCAGAGAAAATAAACCAACGTGGTCACTACTGAACCTCATTAACACAGCCCCAGAGCTCTGAGTAGGTGCTAGGTTCCTTTCGTATTGACACTCCATTTCCTCCAAAGCATTTCTAGGAGACAGCCAGAGGCTGTCAAGTTCTTCCTGGGCTTTTAAAACTGATTCTTTAATAACCTAGAGAGCTTGGGGCAGCTGCTTAGCTACCTACCTCGTCCTATTTCCTTCACAAGCAATAGGAAACAAAGGAAAAGTGAATTCTACATAAAACCACACTTAGTATAACTTGCAGACAATGTCAAATCATTAAAAGTAAGTAAAAGGAGAAAAATCAGCAAATCCCAGTGTGTGCTCACTCACACTTCGGCCCCGCCTCACTACAAGGTTTAGAGCAAAGGCAGATCAAGGTAGAAAAAGGAAGCTAGTGAAGGGATCTAAGGTGGATCTGACACTGCCGCCACAAGGACTAAATGCCCCCAGAACATAGGAGTACTGAAAAAAGTGTCCAGACAGATCAGAGTATGAACTACAGCAAAGGAACTTCCAGGTACACAGGATTTAAAGGTGTGATTTAAAGTGGCATTCCACAAAATGCATGTCTGCTGGAGGAGGAGAGAAAGGCAAAAGGGAGAAGCTCCCACTGGAAATTGGACCGTTAAGGGAAAAGGAAAATGAAGTTTTAGGGTCAGTTAAAAAAAAGAAAAAGAAACAAACAAAAAATTGAAGG